AAAGAGATGCTTTTATCGTTTGAAGTTTATGTACTAATAAACTTGCAACTGCTACGTCAACTATCTATTTTGTCAAATAATTAGTCGATACATTTAACGGATCATCTAGAACTATTTTCTAAACTTTGGAAACTAAGGGTGTTTGATAATCATTTTATTTTTAATTTTCTGTTTTTTTTTTTTAAATTAAGTTGGTAAACACCAATTTCACTTATATGTATCCATCACATTTTCAAAATCTAAGCTAAATTTTATAGGAAAAAAAAAAGTATTTTGCAAAAACTTGTTTTTGTTTTTAAAATTTGGCTAAGAATTCAAATGTGTTTTTTAAGAAATGTAAAAACATATTATTGAAATTGTGAGCAAACAAGTATAATTTTTAAAAATAGAAGGCTGAAAATGAAAATAAAATGATTATCAAACTGAGTCTGAGTAATTACTTTTCAAATCAAATTAGACCAAAAGAGTGAAAGGATTTGAATGACTTAACCAGTTGAGTTATATTATCCTCGGCTTGAAAAGGTGATGTTTGGTTGCACATATTGGTATTAAATTTTCTCGGATGTAATTACTTTCGTGACAACTACACATTTAATATAATTGTGATACAAAATATCACTAACAGCTAAAAAGAAACAAAAGCATGAAAAGCCATAGGTAAATAAATCACTTATCACTAACAAATTGAAAAGGTTATAAGTACAATTTCTTTTGATTTTATTTTGCTAATCACTTTTACTTTTTGTGGTAGAACATGGAGRTCTAACTCAAAATCTCTTGGTTGGAGATATTCACGCAATTTTAGTGAATTTTCCGATGATTTTTGTCATGGGCCTCAATATTGGGCCGAAATTGTAAGCCATTTTCTGGGCTGCAGATTTGAGTTAGAGAGACCCCCGATTCCCGGCCCATTACTAAAATGACATAATTTTTTTTATTTGTATTCAAACAAAAGAAATTACTAAATCGAATAACAAGTCAAGTTTGTGACATTTTTTAGGAAAATTTCCTGATAAACAAATTTAAATTTAGTTTAGCCGACTAAATAAGACTTATGGACCATCCTAAAATGTGGAAACTTACTTTCCGCCACAGCCCATAAATTTTGAAAATGCAGTTAGCAAAAAGATGCCCTTTTTGGAATCTTTATAAATTCACATTTTATTTAATCCAAAGTGGAGACTTCAAATCTTCACTTTTCATCTTATTTAATTCCATCATCCGTTAGAGCTTACTATTTGTACCAATTCAAAATTTCATTATGTTCACACTTATTGGTAAGACACTTATTTGATCATTTCTATTTAAAAAGGAATCTCTCTCTCTCTAAGTGAGGATATAAATCCTTTTTTTAATGTATAATTTGTTGTTCGACTTTAGTTATTTTACACCTTGTTGAGAGTGATGTTTATGCTCATGCTACCATTTAGCGGGGTAGCGTTCCCTTTAGATCCCGGGTTGTGATAGGGTCTTCTTGGGATTTACTTTCATAATTGATTTTTTTTTTCAAGTTTTTCCTATGTATGCTATCATTCTTATGCTATTTGTCTACTTTAGTTATGTTTCTGTTGTTATTTTTCTTGTTCGTGTTCATGTAGTATTTTTGGTAGGTCTATATTTTGTTTCTTTCGTGCATTGATCTCAAGCTATGAAATCTTTTTTCTTTCTAATTAATAACCTAATATTTACGCACGCGCACATAGAGAAAATATTACAAATATATTAGATACACATTTTTTCAACCCATTATTTGAAATAACTTATTTATTAAAAAAAGATAATTAAAATCTTTGAAAAGGAAAATCTTATTAGAAGGGAGAAAATTTCAACAAAACATTGTTAATTAAACTTTGAAAATAATAGAAGTAAAGTGAGAAAGGGCCAAAATAAAAGTTCACTTTTTACATGTCTTACATATTAACTAAAGAGATTTAAAATAAAAAAACAAAAAAAAATATCTAATGATTGAAAAAAGGAAAATCTTCCCTCCAAAATCTCATGTGAAAGCAACTTTTTCATTGACCTTCATTTTTCACCACACTTTTCTTAAAATTAATTATTGAAACATAAAAAGGAGCTTCCGCTAAGGATATGTAAGTGGTTTTCCATTTGCATGTAAAAAGGTTATATATATATATTTTTTTTTACTAAAATTAAGAAAAAAAAAATAATGGATGAATTTTGATAGAATTAAGTATAATTACTACCATTTATTAAAACAGATATTGTTGTATTTTGTTTTTTTTTTCTTCTAATCATGTTTCAATCCAATCTAATAATTCAATGCTACTTTTTTCTCTTTTAATAAATATAAGGTTAAAATTCTACTTTGGTCTATGTTTGGCTCTGATTCATTTTGGTCCATGTGAACGTTTTGGTTCCTTATTTTAAAAGAGTGATCATTT